GCGAGGGAGATGGCAGAAGCAGAGCTGTGGGTCGCGCCGACGATGGCGACCTGAGTCGCGCAGAGGGGTATCGGTAGACGACGGGAGTTGCAGGCGCGGGCTCGAGGTTGCGGGCGAGGGACGGGTCGAAGAAGAAGTCCATGATGGTCTTGGTCTTTTCGGAGAAGACCATGCTGGGGACACGGGCCTTGATGAGCATGAAGCGAACACACTGCATCAACGGTGTCGTCGCAAAACTGGCATGGCTGTTGCCAAAGAGGCGCATCTGGATGGCGCTCGCAACGGCAGGTATCGTCGCGTTGTTGTGGTCCATGACAATGGCCTGAACTTCAGCGTTGATCCTCGTGTCAGGAGACATTTTCACGAAGCGCAAGAGAAAGATGCGCGCGCGCTCGAGATCGGAGCGCCTGTCGGTCGAGCTGTCAGAGCCCCAGGCGTCTTCGAAGACTTTGGGGAAGAGGATGTCATCGTGAGAGAGCGAGTCCGGCGCGGCGCTGCTTCCACGCCGCGGGACAGTGTTGGCAGTGTTGAGGGATGTCCTCATGGTGACACAGCGGGCTCTGCGGCGATGTTCAGTATGATGAATCCGGTGATTGGGGTGCAGCTGGGGATGGATCAAGCTGCCGTGGGTTGTCTGAAGTGCTCCAGGTGCAGTGGCAGGCAGAGCTGAAAGAAGCTCGCAAGAGTGAGATGGTCGGATGTCAAAGAGCTCTCCATTGTGGCGGGAACCTGTAAGCTTTTAGCGTCCAGCGGCTGGATCTGGGTCTGGATCTGGATGACTGTTGGTGGATGGAGGGCGAGTGGCCAGGAGGGGTCATCTTGGGAGAAAGGAGCCAAGGAGGCGTACCAGGCTTGGTGTTGTGGTGTGCAGCCTCACGAGGGACTAAGATTAGAATCGACGTCCAGATAAGAAGCCCAAGTGCCATGGCACTTTAGGACGTTCCCTTTGTTAGGGGCCTCTTTGGGGGGGCTCCAGGGCGTTGGGGGCCAATCGAGGTACGAAAGGCGAGGAACGATTGGCTGCTGCCGTCCCACCTTGCATCTGCAGGGGGGCAGAGACGCCGCAGGCGGATGAGATTTTAGCGTCTATTTAAGGCTTGACACCTGTACGTGGGAGATGGGAGAGGCTGTGCTTCCCCGGAACTTGCGATGCCGGCTGTTGTGCGCTTCAGATCTTGAGGACGTCCTGGCCTTGGATGCATGTTCATGGGATACCTTGATCATCTCGCAAGACACTTGGCATGATGCATAGACCTGCTGAGATACATGGTCGGCGACGAAACGTCCAGATCCTGTCATAGCAGCAACGGAGGAACGAAAGGAAACATCGTCAACGGCCTTATGTCTAGGGTCTGCCACTTCCTGCGTACTGAAGCGTATCCAGTTCTCTTCGCTTCACCTCACCATCTGACAGGTTGTGGCCACACCATCTGACAGCCTGTGTCAGACGCCGTTGACGAAGCTGATTCTGGGTTCATCCAACTGTGCCGAAATGAGGCAAGCAGTCAAGCGCCGGCAAGCGCCCCAAACCTTGGGACGCCCCAACAGCGACACGTTGCACAGGCGCAGGCGAGAGCGGGCTCTGGCGCTATGGCCAGCGGCCTGTAGCCCGACCCAGCCATGTTTGGGATGCTTGCCGTGCTTCCCCAGCCCGGACCGTACTTGAGATGGCTTGCCGAGTGGCTTTTGCGACCGTGCGATCTGGGCCACGCTTTCTGAACAAGGGACTTTGGCTAACCATGCTCAGCGCGCGACTCATCGCCCTGAATGATGACATGGTATGTGTGCCAGGTATCTCCGATGTACATCTGCCTGGGCCCATGACCTGGGAGCCTGGCAACTTGAGAATGACTTCTGGGCCAGAGGAACCCAAGAGCCAAAGCATGGCTCATACCTGGCAGGTGCTATGTATGGCATGGAGCAAACGGCTAAGGGTGCCGAACATGAGGTCTTGTTTTCCCTTCACACTCAGCCTGCAACCATGACTGTTGCGACAGAGTTGCCGTGGCAAGGCGAAACAGCACCGCAAAAACTGCTCGACGTGATCACTTCTGCTCGTTGCAGAGACCCCACGGAGAGGACCCGGCAGCATGGCCTGCACATTCGCATAGCACAGCAATTTTTTGGGACAATGAACTGAGTGGGCTCTCACCTCACACATTACATCCACCAATCCACTTTGCGACTCATGATATATCCTCATCCAGCATATCACGCCGAGAGCGAGAGCGAGATCAACCCGAAAAATAGCTGGCATGCCAATCATGATACTCAATTCCCAACCCATATGAAAAAAGACCCCTTTTTTAGAGGAAAAAGAAAAGGAGTAAACAGCTACCATGGCCGCTTCATCAAGTCATGAAACATTTCCGTCCACTGCCCCTCCTTCATCTCCGAATCGGGGGTGCCCCCCCGCCTCTTCTCTCTCTTTAGACGGTCCACAGCTGACCCTTGGCCTGGGCCTCTGCGACGAGCTTATCGTAGATGGCGACCTTCTCGTCGTAGATGGCCACGAGTTCCGAGTGCTCGTCCCTCTTGCCGGGGGTGGCGTCATCACCGCCGAACGCGCGGACGGCAGCGTAGTAGACGTCCGCCAGGGCGTTGCACACGCCGCGGACGCTCGAAGACTGGCACTGGAACTTCAGACTGGAGGGGGTTGGAAAATGCCGTGTTAGCAGCGAGTCACGCGCGGTGGAAAGTACAAGTGGACTCACTCGGTCCTGAACTGGTTGTCGATGCGGAGCTTGTTGCTCTCGGTGAAGCGGGTCTGGGCGCGGAAGTTGTGGTAGCCAAAGTCGTGGCGGTGGCAGGCGGGCACAAAGGGGAACCCGAATGGGTTGTCAGGAGACGATGTGCAGCCATCCGAGCTCCAGTCGAGGTTGGCGGGGTTGCGGTTGTTGCGGCGTGTGGTGAACTGAGGCAGCGTCAGGGAGAAGGACAGGCTGTCGGTGACGGCTGTGATGCTCTGGCGCGCGGCGAGCTTGGGGGTCTGCGCCTCGTCGGTGGTGGGCAGAGCCAGGGCGGCGGGCACGAGGGCCAGGAGAAGTGCGTTGAACTTCATGATGAGAGGAGAATCCCAAAGACTGGACGGGGAGAAGGAGGAGGAGGAGGAGCAGGGGCTGGGACTTCAAACTGCTGACTGCAACTGAAGCTGAGGAACCAGAAGTTACAGTCATGATGAGCAGGATCTCCTCTCATTTTTATACTTCTCTGCACTGCACGGCATGGCGGACATGGCCATCGATTCAGATGACGATGCTCCGCCAAGCAAGCTACTCACGATCGTCCCGTGGCCATAGAAGTGGCCCGAAAGGGCAATGATCAATCCGCATCGCCTTCAGCCGGCCAGCCACGATGTTGTGAAGCTAGGCGTAATTGGCTCAAGACCTCGAATTGCAACCCCCCCCTTACAACGTCGACCGCGCGCTTCTGACCCGCCCAGAAACCCTGGCAAAGAAGAGATGAACGTTGTTTCTAGGGGCCATAAGGAAGGGTGTGTCCCTCGCCAACCAAGGTCCACTCGCAGCCCAAAGGCTTGGCCGCCGAGAATGCGGGGAAGCCAAAAATTACCCGGGGCGGAAGGCGTGTCGGGCATTTGGGCAGTGAGCTCCCGGGGATGGGCCCCTGGGGGCGGATACCAGCTAGACT